TCAATCAATCAATCAATCAAAAACTTATTAAACATCTTTATGTTAACAAAGTAATAATATGTTACAATTTTTGCAAAAGAAGAGAGTAACTATTTAATAACATAGTTATTGATGTTGGTGTCACTATTTAGAACCAGTTATGCACCAGGGATATAGCTCAGTGGCATAAGCGCCTGCCTGGCAAGTGCAAGGTCCTGAGTTTGATTCCTGGTACCAAAAAAAAAAAAAGAAAAAAGAAAAATAAAGTTTCTTCCCTAGAATCAGTTATGCCTGTCCTTAAGAGTAGAATCACACCAGTTTCAGCAAAGGAATGTTTTTAAATTCAATCTTATAACAGGCCATCTTGGCCACTTTAACTCAGGGTATTTTTGAGTTACTTTCTTTTTGTTAACAGTGACCAAACAAACAAAAAAACCAAAACTTGCATATATATACATATGCAATTCAATATTTAAAAATTCAGTTTGTAACTGTAACATACCGTAACCCTGAAATAGCCTTTCTTTTTTTTTTTTTTTTTTTTGGTTTTGGTTTTTTTCTTGGTACTGGAAATTGAACTCACAACCTTGCGCTTACCAGGCCGGTGCTGTGCCACTGAGCTAAATCCCCAGCCCTGAAATAGCCTTTCAAAGAAGTAAAAAGAAGCATTTGTAAATAAGCTTCTCAATAAAATGTCAACATTTTCATCTAAAGAGGATCATATTTTTAAATTCTAGTTCTAAGTTTCACAAATGGTCTGAAGTTGCAAGTAAAATTCTGGGTAGGTACATTTCCTCCCGCCCCCAGCAGAGGGTGGTAACACAGCGCCCTTCATGTTCTCAAAAATGGATAAAAACCCCCAAAAGCTGAACACTGCTCTTGTGCTGGCTTTGAAGTTAAGCTGTTAAGTTACTCAGGCTGAGCTGTAAACGCATATTTAGAAATCAGATGACTGGATAGTGGTTACCTTGAGGCCAGGTATGAGCAGGGGGTGAAGGGAGCGGCAGGAGGGCTTCGGGTGCTGACAGCACTGACCTGACTGGAGTGTTCACTCTGAAAATTCATCAAGCTGAACACTCATCATTTTTGTACATGTCTGTAGATATCACATTTCACTGAGCTTAAAAAAAAAAAAACCCAAAACAACAATAACAAAGATGGGTCATTCACACAGAGCAGACATTGTTAGAAAGTTTTTAAAAAAGAATTCCTTAAAGATATTGCCCTAGGAGACAACAGCCAGTGAGGAGCTGAGGCCCTTAGTCCAAACAACAGCCCACAAGTGCCAGGCCTGCCAAGGAGCAGGTGCATGTGCTTGAAAGCTGGTGCTCCCGCCTCAGTCAAACCTGGAAAGTGACTGCAGCCCAGTTGACAGTGTAACTGTGAAGGAGACCTTGAACCAGAACCCCCTGATCAGCCCCTCCATGCTTCTGACCACAGAAAACCTGTGAGATGATAAATGCAGGGTTTTTTTTTTTTTTTTTTTAAAGGCACAGTTTTGAAATACTGTCTTCCTTACGCATGTTGAAGTGAGCAAAGTAGTCTCAGTAGCTGTACCTACAGAGAGACACCAGCTTATGGGTTAAAACTGGCAACTTTCTCTCCTTGAAAGACTGTGCTACAATATTGCTTTCAAAATCCAACCAAGAAAGAAGAAAATACAGCTGGTAGTTAGCAATATCAGTTTCTGCATGAAACGGAAGCTAATCTGTCTGTAAGATACAGACCAGGGATCCTAATGCTTGTTCTATTTACCTCTAAATAAATTAGAGACGACTCCATCACAGTAGTATTATTCTGTTTTATGGTATAAGTGTTTGAATGATACCTCACGCATACATACACCCTTTTATTTTTCTCATAGCTTGTTTCACAAGAGGAAAAATACTAAAATAAGAGTTATAAAAATAATGAAGAAAAAGTGGCTGAGGATGTAGCAAAGGCCTTGGGTTCAATCCCCCAGAGGGGAAAACCATATTTATCTATAATATAGATATAAGTCACAATAGCATGCATCTGTCTCAGTTACTCAGGAGGCTGAGGCAGGACAGTCTTTAAATTTAGGAGTTCAGGACCAGCCTGGGCAACACAGTAAGATCTTGTCACAAAATATGAACCCCAGACCTATAATGTGTATAAATCCACAAAAGACGCTGGGCAAGTGGCACATGCCTCTAATCCCAGCACATGGGAGGCTGAGGCAGGACTGCTGTGAGTTCCAGGCCAGCCTGGGCTACACAGTGAGTTCAAGGCCTGTACTACAAAGTGAGACCCTGTCTCAAAAACAAAAATAAATAAAGTAAAATAAAATCAAACCATCAAAGAAAGAGACTGGAGTAAGGGCAGGGCCATGGCTATGCCATTATCATTCAACACAAACGGAGCAACATGTTCCAAAGTTAACAAAGTCACCCCCACTTTTGCGCGCGGGGGGGTGGGGTGGGGGGGAATACCAGCTAATCCTAGGGCCTTCAACCTAAGCTACATCCTTAGCTCATTTTTAATTTTTATTTTAAGAAAGGTTCTTGCTAAGTTGCCCAGGTTGGGCTTGAACGTGCAACACTCTTGCCTCAGCCTCTCAGAGCACTGGGAATACAGTTGTGTACCACCACACCTGGCTGATATATTCACTCCTGTATCTACATTTGCACTTCTGAAGCCTGCCCAAAGACCATGTCAGACACGCTCACACTTCAGCTCTGGCTCCAGGGTCTTTCTCACCCTGCATCCTCTGGAGAGCAAAAGGCCTTGTACATATTAAGCATTCTGGCACTGTATTAGTTTAGCTGGAAAAAAAAGTTACAAAAGTTAGTTTTTTCCACTTAAGGTTCTCAAAAGTTGTATAAGACTCCTTTTCCAAAATCAATTACCCATTGGTACCTATCATTCCCTCGGACATTTTAAAAACTGCAATGATAACTCTCATTTTTGGTATAATCAGGCTAATTTTTTTCACCCTGTTAAATTTTAATCTGCCAGTTGTAAAGATTCTTCATCACTCCCTAGAGTTACACTGGCAGTCAATATTTAATTACTGCACCTGAAATGTAACACAAACTGTGATTGTCTTGAGAACAGTCTTTTCTGTTATCACATAGTTATGATGCAGAGCCCATCAAATAATACTTTAGGATTCTGTGTAAAAGACAGGCACAGTGGCACATAATCTCAGTGTAATCTCAGCATTCAGGGAGGCTGGGGTGGGAGGATCACAAGTTCAGGCCTGACCAGACTATTTAGTGAGACCCTACGTCAGAATATAAGCGGGTTGAGGATGTAACTGAGTGGTGGTAGAGCACCCCTGTGTTTAGTCCCCCAGTCCCACTGAATATTCTGTGTAAGCATTCAACAAAACCCCCAATCATTCTTCACTTCTATTATTACTCATATTACATAATTACATTTAAGATATACACAAGTTAAATCACATATTTAGTATATAACTTTATTACATTCTTTCTTTTTCCTCTGAAGCTCCTGAATACCAGCTAGCCCTATGAAAAGTAATGTGAACTTCCTTAATCTTTTTCATGATCACCCTTCATTGAGCTTTCTTCATCTCTTTACAATAATTAGCCAGCAAGGGAAGACACTCAATCTTATCATCCTCATTTAACTTTTTTTTTTTTTAAAGAAAGCGGGAGGGGTAACCAAAGATAATTACATACAAATGAGTTTGAGTTTTTCCTCCCAAGCACTGGGAGTTAGATAAAGTCACTTAAGACCAAGGATATCTAAGAGCTGCTTTAAGGCCACTGTTCTAAAAAGACACTTGATTATGACAGCAATAGAGCTTATGATTCTTCCATTACTGAAGTTTCATAGCACTTAAAATCTTCCATAAAATATGCTGGGCGTGCTGACACATGCCTGTAATCTCAGCACTCAACAGGCTGACACGGGAGGATTACTGTGAGTTCCAGGCCAGCCTGGGCAACATAGTGAGTTCAAAGCCAGCCTGAACTACATAGCAAGAGCCTGTCTCAAAACAAACTAACAAACTAACAAACCAACAAACAAACACAAATTTCTATAAAACACACAACCTTAGAAGACAGATGTCTACTTCAGACTGAGTGGACCTGACAATCATTCCTGTTTTGCATTAGAAAACAAAAATAAAAAGCTCACCCTGGTGGTTCAGACAAGTATTAAACACATGACTCAACTATTTAGTTCTACATATGCAGCTTTCAAATAATCACTGTATTAATCTGTAATAGACTCTTTTACTGAACTTCATGTTCAAACAGCTATGAGAAAAGCATTCTCTTTTGATGCACTGGAGACTGCTCTTTATTCACTTCGTCCACCTGGGGGGTAGTGTATCTTTTTCATGGGAAGATTTTCTGTTACTATAAAGTGCTACCTTAAAGTTTGTGAGTATCCTGTAATAAAACTAACCTGGTGGTCCAACAAGAAAAGCAAGCACTATGTCCCAATCTTTCCAAAGAGGAGAAAATTCACTTACAAATTTATCCTGTTAACACAAAGACCATTAACCACTAATTTAGAGTGGCATATTACAGCTCTTCAAAGTCAACAAAAAGTAAAAATGAGACATTAACAAGCATTTTCCCTTGTTTGGAAAAGGTTAATTTCTACTCTGATAGATTTATTTTTGGGTGGGCCAGAGAAAAACGTTGCCTTACTAAAAATAAGAGACCCTCCTTTGAGGAAAATGCTATTAAGATTGTTTCGATGCATCTTGACTTTCTAATGACTAGGAATGACAACTGTTTAGCTTCAAAACTGTGCAAAAGGGGATGGGGATTTAGCTCAGCGCAGTGCCTGCCTGGCAAGACTGAGGTCCTGAGTTCGATTCCTGGTACCCTCTTAACTCCCCAAAAAGCCGTGGAAGGATCATACAAAGAGAAGCTTCCTTACTGGAGACAGAACAGACAAGATGCATATTCATAAAAGTATCAACTTCCTCTGCAGTCCAAAGGATCTTTCAGAAACGCTATCTATTCAAATCATGTTCTGGAATGCTCACAGTCACTATTTCCTGCTCTGTAAATAAGAGCACTGGAACCAAAGTTAAAAGACTTATATGCACTTGGCTTTAAGCATATCTCACATCAATCCTGTGCTTTGGTTCTGTCCTTTAAGTGCCAGAAGTAACTTCTGCCTACCTTCTCCTGTAAGATGCAAGAATTTTTTAAAAAATCACATAAACTCCTTCCTGCTTCTCAGAAATGGCTACTGTAAAAGTCAAGGTGCTACACTATTATTATTATTATCATCATCATTTTGTATCAAGTTTTACTGCTACTTCTGAATTAGGCCATGACACTGGCTTCAAAATACAAATCGTGTGGTCTTCCATTTGTGGTTAACTTTCCTGATATAATTCTGCCCTGACACCTTGTCACTCGAATTCCACAGATCTACTTCTCTGATCACAGGTCTGGAAAATGGGCCTTTTATTTAGTTTCGTCTCTCCTCCCCGAAAAAAATGGGCAGAAGTCACACCCCTCCAGCTTCATGCAGACATATCAGGAATGAAAACATAATTTTTACTTGAGGAATGATGCCATACGGCATGCACACATAAAGGCGGCACTGCGTTCTAATCTTTACTTCGCACAACACAGTATCTGTGGGGCTGGTTATGCAGAAAATCCGAAGGTTCCCGACAACAGATTTGCATCCATGACTGTCATAAAAATATCTGATCGAAGGCACAGAGAAGGAAAACTTTACCTAGTTTGTAAGAAATACCCCGCACTCTTCCAGCTACTACTAGGTTTGGAGTGGGCTTTTTTTCTTTTCTTTTCTTTTTCGGGCCTGTGCTGTGTCTTTGAGGAAAAGTGGCCCGGCCCCAACACTGGCCCCGGGCAGCTCTGGAGCCACACCGCGACCCTCCCGGGCACCAAGTACACCCAACCTTGCAGCTCCCGGCTCAGACACACCCCCTCCAACCCGCGTTTCGCAGGAGGTGTGGGCGCTCAACTCCTTCCCCTCGGACAGGGGGACGCGCGGGGAGGCGGGCCGAGGAACGAGCTCCCATTTTGGAGGACAGGGGCGCTCGGCCCTCCGGGCGGCGCGATCTGAGCGTGGGAGCAGAGGGCGCGCAGGACAGGGGCCCCGGAGGCCTGGGGGGGGGTCGCGCACTCGGGGGGCGTGAGGAGGGAGGCGGCGGGAAGGACTCCGACAGCGAGGCCCGGCAGAGCGAGGTCCTCTTTTTGTTATCTGTGTGGGGACAGCGGCGTGACGGGAGTGCCCTCGGGACAGGCAGCCAGGGCCCCCAGCGCTCCCCGCCGAGGGGGGGGGCGGCGAGGACTCGCCCGAGGCCCGGGCTAGCGGG